ATCGCCTGTGTGTAGCCTGTGCGTCTGAACGGAGTGACTCGTAAGGATGCCTATCTGCTCCCTACGATTAGTTCCATTGTAGGAAACCTCGGCACTGCCTACGATTAGCTCCATCGTAGGAAACCTCGGCACTGCACGGTATTTTATCACATTAGATGCCTCCAAAGGTTACTTACAGGTCCGGGTGGATGAGCGTGACCGGTGCAAGACCGTGTTCACGTACCACAGAGGGTTATTTGAGTTCACTCGTATGCCCTTTGGTCTTTGCAATGCTCCTGCGACTTTTCAGAAACTCATGGAATGCGTCCTCAGGAAGCAAAGTGATCTTACTGCATGTGCTACCTCGACGACATCGTGATTTATTCACGAACCTCCGAAGAGCACTTGGCTCACATTGCCGATCTGCTCGAGAGGGTGAGAGCCGCCGGGATGACGTTAAATCCCTCTAAGGCCCAACTAGTGCGAACGTGAGTTCAGTTACTTGGCTTCATGCTGGGCGAAGGCTTCATTGAACCAAATCGGGAGAAACTTCGAGCAATCCTCGATTTCCCCGCACCTAAGGACTTACGCGGCCTGCGCCGCTTCCCGGAACAGCCAGTTTTTACCGGTCGTTCCTTCCGTCCTGTGCCTGAGTGCAGGCGCACTTGACCAAGCTCTTGGGTAAGTCAGCTGAGTGGCGATGGGGACCTGAGCAGCAAGAGGCATTTTGGCGTCTGTTTAGCGCCATTGCGGAGACGGCGCAGCTCAAGCTCCCCGACCTGACCAGGCCGTTTGTTGTCCACGCAAGCGATCTGGGATTAGGAGTAGTTCTCCTACAGGAATACGATGGTCTGTTGCAGCCGTTGGTCTTTGCCAGCCGCTCGTTGATACTCGCGGAAAGGAATTATTCCGTGACCGAGAGGGAGTGTCTCGCCGTCGTGTTTGCACTGCGGAAGTTTGATGTCTACCTTGATGGGACACAATTTGTGGTTCAAACAGATCACAGCACGCTTTGCTGGTTGATATGGCTCCGTGAGCCTGCAGGCAGGCTAGCGCACTGGGCTCTCCTAATACAGCATTATTACTTTTCAGTGCAGTATCGCAAGGGGAGCACTAATGTGGCAGCTAACGCGCTACCTCGTGCCCAAGTGTCTACCAGGAGCCTGGATCCTGGTGCGAGAACCGCTATTGGTGCCTTTGCGCAAGCGAGTGGCGCGGGCGAAACGGTGGCGGAGCCGCTGATCAGAGAAAAGTGTGAGGGAGCCGACGAGCAAACCCTTTCCACGGGCCAGGCAAGCAGCGCGCCGCGAAGCGGGCGAAAGGGGGAGCGAAAGGAAAGCGAACCCATGACGCCAATGCGAGCAAAGGCGATGGCTGCAGTCCTGAGTGGGAACGATACCAAGCTCCCCTTTGGGAGAATGGGAATCGCTTTCAGCAGACAAGAGTTACTGAAGGCCCAGCAAGATGATCCGTTTTGTCGCGAGTTGAGCGACGGTCTCAGGGAGACGGAGCGCCGAGACGCTGCTGGTAGTGCGGCGGGCGCAGGGGGACAGGAACCCGCGTGTGTCGCTGGGTCCCTCGCGGATACATACTTGCTGGACCATGATGGACTCCTGCTGAAATACATAGCCACCGATGAGGAGTCAGTGGACCCGTTTAAGGTGGTTGTGCCCAAAAGTCTGAGAGGCGCACTGTTGCGAGCCTCTCACGACGAGCCTATTGCCGGTCACCTGAGTAGCTCTAAAGTTTTTGCGAAACTGAGGAAGGTTAAGACTTGGCTTGGCATGAAGCGTGACATTTTTCGCTATTGCGTTCCTGCCACGTCTGTCAAACGGTGAAATCAAGGGGTGGCAAGCTGCCTGGCTTGATGAAACCGATTGTTAGTGAGCGTATGTGGCAAGTAGCCACCTGCGATCTAATGGGGCCATTCCCCAGGAGTAAGCAGGGGTTCATACATCTGATGATAGTCGTGTATCATTTTTCCAAATGGGTGGAGCTGTTTCCGCTGCGGAAAGTGACAGCGCGAGCGGTGTTAGAGAGGCTACAGGAAGTGTTTTGTCGGTTCGGCTTTCCGAAAAGATTGATCACGGACAACGTGTCCTATTTTACCGCTCGGGTGTTTGCTGTTCCCTAGGAATAGATCGCTGCACCACTTCGCCCTACCATCCCCAGTCCAATTTGACAGAACGAACCAATCGTACGCTCAAACCGATGTTGGCGGCCTTTGCCGAAAGTCAAAAGGACTGGGCAGACCATTTGAGTGAACTCGCATTTGCAATCCAAACCTCAGAGAGTCGCTCTACTGGTTTCTCTCCCGCCTTCCTTAATTTCGGAAGGGAGTTGGCAATTCCGGTGACCAGTGTCATACAATGCCAGCTTGGAGATGAGGAAGAACCGGCAGACTGTTCTGCTTACGTTTCAACACTTCGGGACAGGCTTTGTCGAGCTCTCAGTAGAGCAAGGCAGAGTTAGGCATCGGCCAGGGCCGAGCAAAAGGCCCAGTACGACCGTAAACGTCGCCACTTTTCATTTAAGGTAGGTGACCTCATCCTGAAGCACAACCACGCTCTTAGCGATGCGAGCAAGGGTTTCTTAACTTCGCTCGCTCCAAAGTGGCTTGGTCCATACCGAGTGGAGAAAGCTTGGACTCCACTCGTGTACTTGCTTAAAGACCCGCTTTCGGGAAAACTCAGCCGTGCCCACATCGCAGACCTGAAAGCCTTTGCGTCGAGGACTGACGAGCCTGCTCCAGCACCCAGTGGCTCTTCCCGCAAGCAACGGCAGCACCCCGAACAACAGTACAGCCTTCGCTCCCGGGACGCGGGTAGCAAAGGCACCCGCACGCGGACGTTCACAACAAGGGGAAAACCGCGAGCACGTCGCAGCTGGCAATGGCGAGCTTTGACACGCCGGTCGGGAAAAGGTCCCTCGTGGCTGTGCTGCACACTCTCACGATGGCCAATGGGCCTGGTCGCGAGTGTTAGGGCAAACCTCGTACGCGTAGGCTTACGGCAAGTGCGGCTCGTGGTACGACCACTTCAAGCACTAGGCACCGCTGTGGGCTTAGCGTACGCTACCGAAGCTAGCACTTAAGTAAACACGCCTGCCGAGGTGCCTAAGGCCACCCCAGGCAGGCTAAAGTCCGGCGATTCCCAAAGGGGACGCGGACGAAGGAAAACACGTGCTTACCCGGTACCGACCACGGAGGAGAGAGCTCAGCTCCCTCGGGACGAACGTAACTCGTGCCGCCCGCACGTGGCGCCATCTATCGCCATGTGGTGTTAGCAGAGCAGAAAAGAAAAAGGGTGTGGCCGTGTGGCGGAATGCCCGCGAAATGGTCGCGGGCGCGCTTCAGATCCCCACGCCATTTGACTAATAATGATGTGTTGATTTCTACACTGTTCTACAACCAAGCTTCGTTGCGACAACTCTACTTGCTTCGTGTGAGAGGCCCTGCTTAGGAAACCGCTGTGCCACTTGAACACCTTTTGATGGCTCCTGCAGCATACCTGCCACCGTGGCAATGGCAGACCATAGCCTGCGATGTGTCTTTCTTAGAGGTAACAAAGCATGCACCAGGTGGTCAAAATTTCTGGAGCCCTCCACTACGGCGTCTCTCATAATCATGTGGTTATTTTGGGACGTTAAACCCCAGATATCAATCAAGCATGCGCTCATGGTACACATCCACACACACTTCATGGAACTGCAGCATAAATACACTTGTCCTAAATTCTTTACTGATGCCTCAAAGTCTTACACTTCTGTTTTGTACGCAGCGGTCGGTCCGTCTTTTTCGGATGCTGGCGCTCCGCATTCTGACACAACTATTTTCACTGCAGAAGCTTTTGCGATACTTGCGGCCGTTAAATACATTAAAGAATATAAGCTACAAAAGGCAGTAATTTACACAGATTCCTCAAACGTCGTAAAAGCTTTGAAAACTCTTAAAAAACACAAAGACCCTGTCCTTGTCTCACTTTACTCACTACTGTGCACAGTGTACAACCCTAAACAGCATGTTGTAGTGTGCTGGGGGCCAGGACACTGCGAGATCCAAAAAAATGTGATGGTGGACCAGCTAGCCGCATCTGTTTACAACAGGGCTGCTAATACATCTGTAGCTATCCCTGCTCTTCTCCTAAAACCATATTTTGAGCGAAAGCTTAGAACTTATTGACAGAGCACATGGGATTGTCACAAAGAAAATAAATTACACGTCATCAAGCTGTTCCTTGGTAATTGGCCGCCAGTATCAAAATCATGCCACACAGAAGTTACACTTACAAGGCTATGAACAGGGCATACACACAGCACACACTCACACCTTTTGTGCGGTGGCGATCCGCCTTTGTGTGATACATGTGGTGAATCACTTACCGTCAATCACATCCTCATCCAATACATCGAATTAGACTCTATTAAAATTTTCTGTTAGCTTACCGTGAACACATTCCACTTCATCCTGGGATGTTCATTGGCAAAGAACCACTTTTTAAATATTACTCATTATTTGCTTTTTTAAATGAAGATCAAAGCTTCAGCATCATATACAAGGGAAACCTGTAGCATAACCTCTCCGCAGAGGTTTTTGCTGCGGTAGCTACTTTTAGAAGCACGTGCCTCTCACCCTTTGGTTTTCAAAGAGGTCGAGGAGGCATTGGGGCTATTTTACAATCCCTCACTTGTAGATACCATGGTTACTTGTGATTCATTCGACGCCCTACATCAAATTGTGTATCACTGTCATAATTTTAAACTGTATACACATATTTTACGCTATTATACCACACTTGATTTTATGCCTTTATACAGCCGTAATACACCTTATCATTGCAATCATTAGTCATCAATTACATCGCATCAAAGACATGGCGCTCTTTGGCCACCCAGGGCTCTTGCACTACAAAACTCCACTAATCATCATTATTTTCCATGCCACACATCCAACATGTCCGACTTCTTCATCGTAATGCGCATTAAGCATTCTTAACATGTTCTTGGTTGCTGGGATGATGCAGAGGGAGGAGGCCTGGTGTTGGAAGAGAGCCAGTATGGCTCCTTTCCGGTGGACGTCATAGTCTACTTCCGCATGCAGCCATCCATCTTACGCTTCAGCTGCCTGCCCGTGTCACGAGTTGAGTGCCTGTTGCGACTTCCTTCGGTTGATCTGGCCTTCTCCTCCAAGCGGGCCGATGAAGGTCCCGTGGGGGGACTGTCGGCCACTGGCTGCCTAGCCGACTTCTCCCTCTACATCTTCCACCCCTATGGAGGAGCCAAGAAGATGGCCGCCACTACAGCTGATGCCTCTCCACTGGCTGTTACAGAACGCAAAGACTCACTCTCACTGCAAGTGGAGTTCGTCAAGGTAATTTTATTGCTCCAGCGAGAACATTGCAGTATCAAGGGGTTTTATACACTATGCATGTGGAATTGAAACTTTACTCGTCCAAGTGATGATTGCACGCAATTTAATTAAATTGAGAATTCAGACAACGCCCGCCGCTCTGATGGGCAGTGTTGACAACGCTGTCGAGTCGCAGCAAGTTCCTACCAGCGTACACGCCTGCTCCTCTACTTTGCTTCTGCTGTCAAATGCACCCCACGTAATGGCTCCCCCGTTGGTCAGAATAGGCCCCCAAAATGGCGTGACGTTGGTGGAGCCACCTTGTGATCAAGGCTCTGATGGGCAGTGTTGACAGTGCTATCGAATCAGAGCAAGTTCCTACCGGCGTACACACCTGCTCCTCAACTTCACTTTTGCTGTCACATCCACCCCACGTAAAGGCTCCCTTGTTGGTCAGACACTGGGTTGCCAGCGAATTTTTCCAACTCTGAGGATGTTGATCGCTACATCTAGTAGACACTCTAAAAACCTGTCTTGGGCTCATGCAACGACTGCCGCTCCACTCTTAAGGCAGAATCACTGGCATAGAAAACAGGCTTTAGACAACTTGTAAACATTCTGGCACCATAAGTAGTCATAGTTCCTTTAACCAGTGCACTGTTGAGTTTCGCAATATCAGGTCGAAAAGATACAATTTGTTAGCTTCACTTCAGCTCTTAGCAATGAATGCAATAACAACAAGTGGTATTCTTACACCAAATAAGGCTTGATGTCATAGGCGAGCAGCACTAGCGACGGTGTAGCATTTTCGATGGTCCGCACACTCGCCACATATGCATGACTTGGTGCACATGCTGTGTTCAATATCTGTACAATGACTTGGATGACTAGAGACCTCCAGAACACCTATTGCACACCAATGCACATACTGCACGAACGACATGTAGAAATAGGCCCACAAAACGGCGTGACGTTGGTGTGGCCACCTTGTGATCAAAGCTTAGTGCATTCCCCTGTATGTGCTCCAGGAAGCGAAGCACTTTTTGCACAGTCTGTTCTCATTTAGAGTACAACACGCAGAAGTGTACACAAGATAGGAGCTGCCTGTAATGTCTACCGAAATAGCGCTCACACCTGTGATTGTTTCATTTAAGGGGGGTGGCTACCCCGAAACCGAACTTTTAATTTTTCAGGATATATTTATTAAACTTTCAGGGTATGTTCACTATATTAAAACTAGAAAAACTGTAAAGTTTCATGATATCGTGTTCAGGGGTTCTAGGAGTTACCGAGGTCTAACTGGGTGGCTCACTTGTGTGCCTGAAAAAGAGCTGGAAGAAATCCCAGGGCATAGCAGAAGGCTGAAATTTTCTGTGGTCATCCTTGGATAGATATACTAGGCTGCTAAACTGCAGTTTTTTTTTTTTCAATTTTCTCTGCAGAAATATTTTATGCAAATTTGAATTTGATGTAGCTAGTAGGTATGACATTTATCAAAAAATATTTTTTTATAATAATTATTTGCACCAATTTAAAAAAAGAAGCTTTTTGCACACTGTCAGATTCATCCAGAAGCAGATATACTATGGTGCTAAACAGCAGTTTTTTTTTTTTTCGATTTCTCTTACAGAAAAATTTTATGCAAATTTGAATTTGATGTAGCCAGTTGGCATGACAATTATCAAAAAAAAAATTATTAATAATTAATGGCACCAATGAAAAAATAGAAGCTTTTTACACACTGGCAAAATCATTCAGAAGAAGAATAAAAAAAATCGCACATAAATCTGATAAGCAGGTCTTGAGAAATTGCTTTCCTCAGCCAGAAAACTAGCTAAAAAATTCATTTTGAGTAAACGGGCTTTGAAACTACAGCACATCTGTTTTCCTCAAAAAGCTCCAGCTGAGTAGCTTGAAGTGCCCTTAAGCACTTTTTTCCTCTTTTGTATTCCCTGCATCTTCTCTAAGTGCCATTTAGAAATTTTTTTCAGACATAGGGCATCTTTTTCAAGAGCCGGCTGCATCAGTTCAAATTTTTTCTTTGTCGCTGGTGTAGATTTGAATTCAGCGCGAACAGCGTCTCGCATTTGCATCAATTTCTTCCTTAGTTAGGAAATCCGTCCTTAGATGAAGAGACGACGGCCCATTCTCGCTATTCGCCCCAATGCAGATGAAGTGCTGGGTCTGGCGATCTTAGCAACACTCGGTGTCATGCTCGACTATAACGATTCAGAGCACGGGCTGGATATGGCGATCTCGGATACACTCGATGCATTCCCAGCTCCAGGTACACACGGTTTGTTGGATTGTGGACTGGTGGCAGCCAACAGCACAGTTTCGCCGGAGCAGGCATCTACAAAATGGGCTTTGTAGGGGAGCGCGCGCGCCCAGCCTTCCTTTTCCTTTTTACAGCAGCGCGAAAGCCTAGTTGCGGGAACACCCCCACAGCCAGCGCTCGCGATTCCCCCTTTCCTGGTGCGCGGAACCGGTTTCCTCTTCCTCAGCAAAAAAAGGTATTATTCTCGTCAGGGAGAGGGAAACCGGGTCCTTGAACAAAACTAGCGTGTGGACCGCCGCACGCATGCTCTGACACCGGCCAGAAACGAAGGAGGTCGAACCCACAACCCCTCTACAAGCCACGGGCAACAACGACCAAGGAATGAGCGTCTATCCTTGTTTTCTGTACTATCTTCTCACGACATTTGTGCGATATTGTTAACGCCTAGCTATAAAGTGTCGTTTTGTTGACCTAGCCTGTTGCCTTATTCGCGTGAACCCGTGTAACTGCAATGAGACGAGCTACAGATAGGGGACGTTAATCGTGCAGGGTACAACTGTGTGTGGCTGGAACATCAGTTAGGCTTCTGCGTCAGCCGTACATAGGACGGACCTCTCTACATCTGGCACCCAACGTAACGAATTTGGCAACGCGGCTAGTTTGGTGAATGTGAGCAACTACCGACACTCCCCCACGCGTAGGATAACAAGCATGTCGGAATTCCAAGATTTGTCAATGTTGTCTGATGTCGCGTTGCAGAGTGGTGATCCTTTGGCTAATGCGGGCACACTGTTAGGACAGCAAGGTGCAAAGACCGTGTTAGCAGAGATTAGGCCTGCTACGGAAAGCATCACGCATGGCGCTCCAGCATCCTTCAACGCGAACAGAGAGGCGCCACCATGAGGTGCTTCAACACGCCTCACAACTGTGAGGAGTCTGCGGGCAACAGTTTGCCCTCGAGCGAGGTACTCATACAGAATGTGCTGTTAGTTAAGCAAAGCCTCGCGAGTGCCCTGCAGAACACAGCGCAGGGCCCCGTGTAGACTGTGTGAACACGTATCAAAGTAGACATAGCTACCTACACAGGTTACAACAACGGCAAGAGTGTCAATGAGTATCTTGACCAGTTGCTCCATTATCAGCAGGTGACGGAGCTCTGTGACGCAAAACTTCTCGAGTGCGTGGTTCCGGTGTTGCTCACGGAGCAAGCGGCCCGATGGTTCTAATTAATCGGAAATCGCACCCGCACGGTAGAAGAGCTCTGGGACAGCTTCCGCGGCGAATTTCTACCGACTAATTATGAGTAGCGTTTATGGAGGAAATTGGAGCTACGCACCCAGCATCCGGACGAATCCTTGCTGGAGTATGTATGCGCGATAGACGAAATGTATTGTCTCGCTAACCCTCACGCCACCAACATGTAAAAAGGCGAGCGCGTTACGCATTAAGCGCACCCGACTTTTGCAGCACACTTCAGGGGAAAGTTCGCAGACCTAGAAGACCTCGCCACAGCGGCGAAACGCATACAAGGGGACATCCTCGCTGCACGATCCTATCACCCACCTTTGCCTGCAGCTCAGTCAATCAAGCCTCGCTGTATGTGGAATGGTGGCGCGGTAGTTTCAGAAGCGTTTAGAGGTAACGCGTCAGCATCGTTTGCTGATGAACAGGTACCACGCAGTTCGGAGCTATCAGACCAGGCTTTGGACCCCTACACTTGCGCGCTCTGTACGACCAACGCCGCCCCCGTGCATGACATTCCAAGGCAGGAGCACGCGGTCGGCACAAGGCCTAACGAGCGGTGCAACCCAAAGCGAGGACCACCTGATTGAGGTGACTTACGATTGGGCCGGCGTGGTGTTCGCGATCCGTGTGGTGCGCCGGGGCGCATCGCCCGCGAATGCGACAGCATACCGGGTCAGGAGCAAATGCGCAGTTCGGGAAATGGACAACGCCGCCGATGACCCACATCGGACCCTGCGCGGCGATCAGTAATTTCATCGATGCGTTCGTATAACTTGCACTGTCAGTCTGCCGCGCAGGTGAGGCCGTAGACTCACCCACACCGCTAGTCGAGTAAACGATAGCTCGAAAGAAGTTCGTAGCACTTTTGGATACTGGGGCAAGCGCTTCTTTGTTTGACAACAACGTGTTGCACCATCTCCGCGAGAACAATATTCATTTGAGGCAAAGCAACACCATCTTCCACCTGGCTACAGGCACAGCACAAAACGAGTGGTGCGGCTAGGCCAGTGATCCGCTGGGATAGACGCGTGAGGCGACAATGTTTCGTGCATCTTCCTGGGCTGTCAATGTCTCTGATCCTGGGTCGAGACATTCTCCCAAAGTCTGGTATCGTCATTGACATTGCAAACGGTGGTTACAATGAGCGCGACGGAGACGCACTAAAGCTTTTCTCGAAAGCCCCCGCATTGACAAAGGCATGCCAATCGCAGGGAGAGGCGCGAGTACGTGAGGAGGAAAGCGCGTCGAGAAAGCGAGTAACCACCCCTTCGGAACAATGTGCTGCACTGAAGGAAGGGCAGTGCATTTGCTTTTGGTAGAGGCACAGAGCCTACTATAAGGGGAACAAGCGCAGCTGCCGTCGCTGTTGTACGAGTATTATGCGATGTTTACTGACCATCCCGGCCGCACTACGCTGGTCAAGCATAAAATTGACACAGTTGATGCACAACCTTGGAAATGCAACCCCCAACCGATCAGCTTGGCCGAGCAGAAAGCA